ACACACACACACATACATATATATATATATACACACACACACACACATATACATATATATACACACACACATAGACACACACACACACACATATATAGGGATTGACTCCAGTGAAATGACACATTACGGTGAGATGACATGCTACGGTCAGACGACGCAAAGCTCACCAAGGATAACTACAAAGTTCACCAAACTTTAAGGCATAGTTCACCATATTTTTTCAACACTTTGAATTTTTTTTGAAAAAATAATATCAAAGAAAGGGGTGCTGACTAGACATTGACCATTGACTGAGACCTTTGACCGCTGCCTGCCACTGCCAGTCGCCGAAATCCGCCGCCACCGGTCGCCGGAATCTGCCGCCTTTGATCGCCGAAATCCGCCGCCGCCGGTCGCCGAAACCGGCTCCAGTCGCCGGCAACCGCCGCTGACTGGTTTTGCTATTTTATTTTTTATTAATTTTTAATTTTCAAAATTTAAAAAAAAGGTAATTTTTGGTGTTCAAAGTGGTGAGCTTTACTTTATTTCTAGGTAAGCTTTGCATTGTCCATTGGTGAGCTTTGTAGTGTAGTGTGGTGAGCTTTGCGTCATCTGACCGAAGCATGTCATCCCACCATAACGTGTCATCTCACTGGAGTCAATCCCATATACATACATACATACATACATACATACATACATACATACATGCATGCATACATACATACATACATACATACATACATACATACATACATACATACATACATAGATATATATATATATATATATATATATATATATATATATATATATATATATATATATATATATATAAATGAGCTCATTTCAATTTTATTTCATTCACATGACTCTGTATTTGTGTTGAAATAATATTGTCCATGAACATTATGAGTTAGCCATAAATAAGGTCATTTCAATTTTATGTCATTCGCATGACTATAAATGTGAATGTATCCACCGTAATGTTGGTCTGGTTAGAAGTTTTATGTCTGGATACATAACAACATGACGGGTCTACGGACCTACATACGGTGTAGAGCACACAGTTTCCAGCAATTACTACAAATATTTTGAGATGAATCATGTCGTGGAAGCTTTCATCATACTTCCCGGAGGAGTTGATACCATCGAAGTTTTGTTCACCTTAATCTCGTGGGCGTCTGAAGCATTGTACAGTAGACCTATTGGTCTCTTAAACATTGATGGTTATTTCAATAACCTAATCAAATTTCTAGATGATGCAGTGAGACAGAACTTCATGGCTTCTAGTCAGAGGAAACTTTTCATTTCTTCTTTCTTTATTGATGAGCTTTTAGACAAACTAGAGTTTGTTAAAGCTTTCCCGGGTCCTGGGGCTAGTTATGACGAGTTTGTAAATCCTGAAGATTAGACTTAGATTTGCATCTGTAACGTTTCTTATGTAATCGAAATTGTATTTGTGTTGAGATAATATTATTCTAAGTTGCATGGCGAGTGCAAGCTACATTTTCTTCATTTTTCAGTATTTTACTATTGGTGTCACTGTTTCACGTCTTGTTTTGTGTTGTTACCACGTCGCGATCTTTCATGTCAATAGGGTATACGGACGAAACAACGATTTGTCTTGTTGATACGTTAGCACCACTTTTATTCATTCAATCGAACTATGCTTTCAACGATGTAACAAGCTGTTAGTTCATTCAACAAGGTTGTAACACCCCAACTCGAATAACCCAATTACATAGATTATTTGAGCCGAAGTAGTTACCATGATGGTAAATACGCATAACAATTTGAGGAATAATTTAAAACCAATTTAAACTTTAATATAAATGATAATTTCAAATATTAAATTCAGAGTATTGCTGAAACAATGTGGAAGCTTAAGTATAAAACATAATCAAATTGTTTTACATTTTTCTGGGTTCTCGCCTGAAAAGGTATTTATTTAATTAAAACATCATAAATGTGGTCCACCAGTCCGTACATCTCGTCACTCTCATTGACCTCCGGGATGGGCTCCATGATCAGTATTGTTACCTGCGTGTAGCAAGTAAAACAAACTACACGCTCAGCGTCAGCTGAGGAATACGCTAATACAACAATTCCAAGTTGAATAGCAAGTAGACATATAATTATCATGATATGACATAATATATCATGTATGCTCAAATGATGATTGTGATACGTAATAAATGTCATACATTGCTTGATGATGAATTCATGCTGTATGATTCTAGGTCACAAGGACAAGCCTTGAACTATGAG